CGATTCACTGCTTTGTACTGGATTTTGTTCAAAGTAGAGGAGATCTGTGTGAATCACCTTAGCAGTCTATCCCGGTGAAGGCTAGTCGCTTACCGGGTATTTTGTCTAAGAGGGTTTGGTCAGCTTAAGAGATTCCAAGCTATTTTCGGATCTTCCGCAGTCTAATCAACAGTAAAACAACGAAAATGAATTACAACTTGGACCTAATTGAGGAGCTAAGGGGATCATATCTAAGTGATTTCTCAACCTGTGATTAGATTAACTTTAACTGTAGTTTGCTTGAGTAGTTATAATTCTTCTATCTTATTATGGTTTGCTAGATAATGAACTAAAGCTGAGTAATAGTAACTCTAGAGACCCATGGATTCGATATTGATTACTTGTGCCACTATATATCACTCCCTTTCATTGGTTACAATTGGACATTGTTAGGAGTTGTGTTTTAGCGAGTCAATTCGTCTTCGAGAGAGACCGTGAAGCTGGGGGCGTTGGAAATTTGCGGAGGGATTTAAGACTGGGCGATTGTAGTGATGGGTCATGGATGGGATTTAAATTGATCCCAACATCATCGTTGCCATCGTCAGTGGCGGATCCAGGGGGTGGCCACCCCGAGCCACGACCCAGCCCTCCTCTGGGTTATTTTATAATAAGATTGTGTGCAATTGAGAAAATGGGTTAGATGAACATATTCAAATCACAACTCTAAATTTAGCCTAGAAATTCTAGCTCCAATGATACTCTTCTAAATAAAAACAAACAATGTAACCTAAAATTCTAAAAGTCTAAAACGTAAACAATTGAACTATGAGGTTTGTTCCCTTGAAAAATTACCAGAGCAGCTGATGGAAAATGGGATGGACACACAATACAAATTGACTAGTCGTTCAATTTGTCTAGTGTTAATATTGCCCATTTCAACAGCTACTATGGGGAAAACCTTGTCAACAATGGGACAGGTGAAATATGATTTACACAACAAAATGAGCGATGAATTTCTCGTATATTGCTTAAGTATTTTATTTGAAGGAGAGTAGTACGCTATTGGTATGTATGTATGTAGATCCGCTGTTGGCCATCGTTGGAGGGCAAGGGAAGATAATATGCGGCAGGTTGGGGATTTGAGAGAAGAATCATAGTTGGTAAAGGGGATTTGAGAGAAGATGGAGTGGGTGGGTTGAAGGGAAAATAAAGGTACAGTTTGTCATTTTTAGCAGGAGATTAGAAGATTTGGAGAGAGTGAATGCAAGTGCAGGCTTAAAATAATGGGTTTTAGCCTTCTTAGAGGACTTGGGTATTTTAAATGGGATGGTGGAGAAAGAGTTTGTTGTAAAGATGGTGGTGATTGGCTTTGTATTGAAATTATATGGAGTAGAACTAGGGACATGAGGCCCAAGCAAAGTGCAGTTGGGTTGTTGAAGCAATCGGGTGAGGGTGTGGGTGTAATTAAAAGTTGTGGGCTCAGATGTTAATACTAGATCCTTTGAAAGATTCCCAGATCTAGACAATATTTACATATATGTTCAATTGGAAAGGCAACTCAATGGGACAAGTGTCAATACAAGAAAACCAAAAGAGTTGTAGCACTGGGTGCAACACTAGCAGCTTCCAGGAATCAATTCTCACAGTCCAAAGACAAGGCACACAAGGAGAGTCATTAGAAGGGTTGTTTGGTCATTATTACAAGAAGGATACCCAGATTACTCAAGAGTGTTGGACGCTTAAAAATAAAAACAAGGAAAGAGTAGGTAAGTCATTTGTTGGAGCTGTCAATGTGCATACAAGAGACAGTCGTGAGTCGACTATCAAAACTTTATGTTCCTTCTTTGTGGCTGCTCCAAGAGTTCATACCTGAGGCCTCTGGCTTCGTGGTCGTGATCTCGAATCTGAAGACTGTGATCTCGATGCCCAGCTTTGCATCCTCATTTCCCCGGTCGTGATCAAGCATTCCCTGGGCATGATCCTCTGTTTTTCACATTTCTCTACACGTGTGCCCTCATTTGGTACCTAGAACACTCATATCATCTAATACACCCTAATATGCTAATATTTTCTTCGAGGAACGAACAAAGGATATATTTGATGAAATATTAACCACAAAGACCATGAAATGACTCAAAACGAACATGAACCTAAATATTGACTCTAAATAACACCATTTTGAGTGTTATCACTTATCCACAAGGCCAGGCAGTAGGTTATCAAGCCGATAAGACAAGCTTGATACCGAGATGACAAGTTGGCATCATGGCGAGATCCCTTGGACTAAGTTGCGGGAAAGAGGCTAGGGTCTCATCTCGTCAATGGGGATACCCAGGTCTAACTAATAAGACACTTCATCAAGGTGGCTCGGTTAACAAGACGAGGGTTGTACAAGTCGGCATGGAGGGGGCTCCCTAATATCATTAAGGTTGTAGCGGTTTCTAAAAACAAGATGGTTACACCGTGGTGGTCAGCAAAACCTAAGAAACAAAAAGCTAAGTGTGAAGTCATTTGGGGCTGTCAAGGATGTGATCGAGACTTTGTCATTGGGACAAGGTAAGAAGCTTCAACCCCATCCAGTCAGGACAAGACGACAAGATTCAACACAAACTCAACCTAGTGTCAGGCCATCAAGTACCAACCAGTAACCAAGGCTGGTCATGGGACCCCAAGGCGATAGTTACCAATACTTCATTGAGGCGAAATGAGGATCCCTAGACGATTGAAGCAACCAACCAGCTAGCGGTTATAACGACAGTTATATCTTATGGCTAAATAGGAGAAACCTAAGTTGTTAAAATCGACCTGAACGGTCAGTCAGATCGATAAAACCGGGACCCAGGCACAAGTCGGGTTCGGAGTTGCATATAATGCGCTGCTTCCGGCTCAAAGTGTTCGCCCTCCATAAATTTGTTTAAATTCCCTACGTTTGAGAGTCCGTGCTAGAAAATTATTAGAGGCTTTCAAAATTTCATTTTTCTCTCTTTGCCTCTTTCCTTGTGCCTGCGTGTGTAGCTTTTGGTTGTTTTTTCTCCTATCTTTTTATTGTTTCCTTCTTTGATTGAGAGAGAAAAGCTCTCCCCTATCTCCACCTTTTCTCCCCTTTCATAGACGTTGTTTTGTCTTCTTCCCTTTTTGAATGGGGCCTCCAGGGGAGGCTTCATATCCCAACCCAAAGCATCCGGATTCCTCGTTGGCAGCCTCGACAATCCAACCCAACAAGAAGGCCAAAGCACTCTTTAGAGATGGATTATCTGGGGAAGGATGTATGGATTACAACGTCGTTGTGATGATCAGAGTTGGTGAAAGTCAAGAAGACACTGCAAAATTTGTGAGCACTAAGCCTCTTGCTGGCTTCCAGTCAGACCTTTGGCCTGGCAACAACGAGACCAAATGAAGACGGGTGACTGGGAGGAAAGAGCAAGGTAACCATTGTGGTTAGGCCTGCAATTCTCCTGCAAAGATTTTGTTCTGGGAAACACTAAAATATCTGACTTTCAAGAAGGTGATGATCTAACGTATGATGAATAAGATGTTGAAAATGGAGAAGACAATTTAGATTGTCCAACCATCAGAGTCAAGAAAAGAACCAATGCTAGAATTCAGAACGCTGGAATCGCGCTATCACATTTCAGGTTTTGGGGAAACACTTCCCTTTTGCTTATGTGCATCGGCGTACCTAGATAATGTGGGCTAAATCTGGTTGAGTGAAGGTGGGTGACATCGGGAACGAGTACTACCATGTGGTCTTCAACTCACAAACGGATTATGATTGAGCTCTCCAGAGTGGATCTTGAACCATTGACGATCACTATACAGTCTCCAAACCATGGAGACTTGATTTTGATCGACTTCGTCAACCATATATCATCATGGTTTAGACTTCCTTGCTTGCCATTGGCATACTTTGACGATGAAATCCTCAGGGATATTGGGAATAGGCTAGGGAGGGTCCAGAAGATTGATTACAACACTACGAATAGATTTAGAGGTAACTACGCCCATATCTATGTCAAAATTAACCTAAGGAAGAAACTGAAGGCCTTCATATTGTTTGCTTCTACTGCGGACAGTATAGTCACCTTGAGGAGAATTACCACAAAAAATCAAGTGAAGGTGCCCCAATGGAAGAATAGAGAACAAATAACGTTCATAGCAACCAATCCTCGCCGCAAGTTAGGCCAGAAATCTTGGAAGGTTTTAAGCCATGGGTGCTTGCAGCGAGACCAAAAAGGGTTAAGATCCAGAATAAGAATCATGAAAAGGAACTACCAAAAAAGCGAATACAACTGAGGAAGATATGAGTACAGGATCTCGATTTAATGTTCTTGAAGCCGAAGATGAGGAAACAGAAACAGAGGAGGAAGAAAATAGGATCGTCGAGCCTACTCCAAATAAAAATAAAGGAAATGAGCAATAGGGAGAGGCTTCCGCACCTTGAACATCCACAAAATGGGGGGGGGGGGGACAAGAGAGTGCCCTAGTGAAGAAAAATAAATAAAGGAAATAAGCAATAGGGAGAGGCTCCCGCACCTTGAACATCCACAAAATGGGGGGAAACAGGAGAGTGCTCAAGAGAAGAAAAATAAGAACGACAAAAGTAGTGACACTCTAGAAAAAAACACAAAGAATGGAAGTACCCAGGAGCATAGAATCTATAATAGGAAAGAGCATAAGAAGACTACACCAGAAGTGATCAAGCAGAGAGGTAACAATAATCTCTCGACCAAGGATTCTGAAGTGGATATGCCAACCCAGGAGGAGCCACTTCAGAGCCAGTTTGAGTTGACTTAGCCCCTGTAGTAGGAAGCCAAAATAAGTAAACCCAAAGGAATTAGGAAACTTACATCTGGAGCCAAGAAGTCAGGGAGTGATAAAGGATTAACTAAAGAGGCAAAAGTAGGACACCAACCGAAGATGAAGACACCAACCTCCTCATCAACAAGTAGGTCAATTGGGAAGGAAAACACCACTACCCCAGGCAAAAGTAACTATAGAGGAAGGAAGATTGTCTTCTCCCCGAAGCTGGTGAATTGTAAGTCTATGCTAGAAAATGCACAACTCTCCTCAACTGATCATATGTAATATGCTGCAGGGGAGGAAGAGGAAGATATGACCGTCAAACTCTACTGATTTCTCAACCTTTGACTTGATCGGGAAAGTAATTAACCACCACACTCATGGTTAAAACCTTCTCCGGGAACTCCAGGAGTTCCAAGCACTCCAAATTTCTGTCGACTTTTAATCTTTACAAAGATAGTTATAAGCCTGACATTGTGTGCATCCTGGAACCTAGAATTAGTGGGAATGATGCAAGCTCAGTTATTAAGTCCCTAGGATATGATACTTGGGCTATCTATGATGCAATTGGTTTCAGTGGGGGCATATGGGTTCTTTGGAATCCGAGTGATTTGAAGCTGGAAGAGTTTGACAATCACAAACAGTTCATCAACCTCAAATGCTCCAGTGCCAATGTGGAAACCTTTCAGATTATAGCTGTGTATGCTAGTCCCAACAACATGATAGAATGGAGTTGTGGGATGCTATGAGAAGAACTGAGAGATCAACACAGTTCCCATGGATTCTCATAGTAGACTTCAACTCGATCTCTAGAGCTTGTGCCAAGCAAGGTGGAGCTGCTTTCAATTTTGCTAAAGTTCGTGCTTTCAATGAATTTCTGGAGGACTATGGGCTCCTTCCCAAATTTACATGGTTTACCAGGAACTCTGGGATCAAAGAGAGGCTTCACTGCAACATTTGTAACCTTAGTTGGCAACACAAGTTCCCTGGACCAACTACCTTCCATCTTCCTAAGATCAAATCGGACTATAGACCGATTTTGACCTGCACATCAACAGAACTGGCAAAGCATAAGATGGTTAGAAGATTCCACTTCATTTCCCCATGGTTGGCACATGAGAACTTTCCCGACTTTTTGAGGGTAACCTGGAATGACGGAGGAGAATTTCCCCAGGCCCTAAAGAACTTTGCTGAAAACTCAAAAATGGAACATTGAGGTGAATGGCAATATCTTCAGAAGGAAGAAAAAACTGCCGAATGAGCTGAAGTCCCTGGAACTGCTCAACGAGAGAAGACCAACCAATTGGGTGGTGTATGGTGACCTGAACACCAAGACCTGAAGTCACTATATCATTGGATAAAGAGAAACAAAAGAGGGAGGAACTGGAGGATACACTTTGGCAGGAAGAAATGCTTTGGATTCAAAAGCCTAGAACCAATTGGGTGGTGTATGGTGACCTGAACACCAGGTATTTCCATACAAGCACCCTCAGCAGAAGGAAGAGGAACAAGATCACATGCCTACGAAATGATCAGGGGCAATGGATCAATGATGTTGACACCTTCATCACCATTGCTGGGGAGTATTTCTTGCAACTCTTTACTATATCAGTGATGATTGTTAGACATGCCACCCCTCTGAATTTCCCTATCATTTATGATAACTTGTTGTCCAAGCTGTCTTTCTTGAGGAACTCAGAATGTATCTCCCTAATGATATTCTTTCAACCATTGCAGGTCTTGAAGCTCCTAATCCTCAGCTAGGAGAGGATACTACCTTTTAGGGACTAAATCAAGATGGTAGATTCAGTTTAAAGTCGGCTTACAACCTTGCAGCTGATGCCGAGGAGATGGAAGCAAGTGGAAAGTGGAAAGAGCTCTGGGAACGAAAGGGGCCAAATAGAATCAAACACTTCTTATGACTTGTCACCCATGACAGGCTCCTTACAAACAAAGAAAGGACAAGAAGGAAGCTCACAATTAACAGCTTATGCAACCACTGCAAAGAGGAAGAAAAAAAAATTGAACACATCTTAAGAAACTGCAGCAAAGCGAGAAGCCTGTGGGAGAAATTCTAGAGAAAAGATGCCACTAGGAACATAAGCTTTCCCTTTACTGATTGACTTTCATTCAACATTAGACACAAGCCATATGCAATTGAGTTTGGGATTATCTGCTGGCAGCTTCAGAAGCATAGAAATGAAGAGGTGATGGAGGGGAGAACGTTCTCCAGAGACGACCTATTTGCTAAAATCCAAGCCTGATTCAACATTGTGCAACAGGAGACTCAGAACATTCAAAAACCTGCTCATCTACTAAATGTGCCAAGCAAGGCTGTTTTGTTGGCTGGGAACCACCTGAAGAGGGATGGATTCAACTTCATTCTGATGGTTCTATGCTCTCTCATAGTGGTAAAGCAACTATTGGGGGTTGTTCAGAAATCACATAGGAAGGTGTCTTGGAGCATACGTCTGCAATTTTGCCACTACTCTATCAGCGCAGTAGAGCTAAGGAGAGCGATAGAGTGGCTCAAGATTGCTTGGAAGGAAGGTTACCGCAAGGTACAACTCAACTTTGACTCAACAACAACAACAATCAAGATCTTCAACAACAGATTAGATGATTATCACCGACATGGCAGCATTGCCAAACAATTTGAACAACTTTTGAACATATAGTGGGAAATCCGTGTGTCTCATTTGTATATGGAAGCCAATTTCGCAACTAATTTCTTGGCTAGCAAGGTTCACAACTATGATTTTGTACACATCATTTCAATGTGTACGACAAGGATCTTGTCCTATGGATTCTTTATGATGTAATGGGTTCCTCCCATGAATGTTTTATTACTAATGTGACCTAGACGCTTTACATCTATCTTCTTACAAAAAAAAAGTCAAAAATGACAAGCACTTATATTATGGTTTTAAACATTGGTGCTTTGAGATATAAATTGAAGTAGTACCATAATATTAAAGGTACAAGTTTAGGTTTGTACCAAAAGGTAAATAATACATTTATGTTGTGTTTTTTTCCATTCAATCAATTTCCCTTTACTATTAAGTAAAACGAATTGCAAATTGCAATTCGAGAACCAATACAACGAAAAGGGTTGCCATTGTGGCCACCCTACAGAAAAGAACTATAGAAAGCTAAAACTATCACCCACGTTTCCTACATCACCAAATTAAAACGTACTACATGATTCTCAACAATCTCGAGTCCTGCCTCATCAACTCCTGCAGAGTCTGAGCATCTCGATCCAACTCTTATGGCATCGCCTATATCTTTCCTACCAAGTAGCTCGACACACCACCTCAACTCGTAGAAACCGTTTTACTACATGACAATCAAAAGCACAGCTGAAAAACAGATGGTCGCTCGTTTCACTCCCACTATGACAAAGGATACAACTATCCTCGGCAAACTTCCCCCATCGCAATAATTTGCTCTTAGTGGTAATAGAATCAAGAATGACAAGCCAAGCAATAAAACTGAACCTAGGGACACTGTTATGGCCCCAAACCAACCTGTACCAATCGACCTCGATGTAATGGTAATGTAGAGAATTCCATATGAGCTTGATTGAATACTCGTGCATTGGCTTACCATCCCACAAAGCATAGTCTCCTTCCCTGCTAAGAAGAGGCTGCACCAGGGATATCTTCTTCAGTATTCGATGCCAAGCCCAAGAGCTATTAGAATTGTCCTTCATCATCAATATGCCTCCTGATTACAGTGATACTTGAGCATCCAGACCACCCAAAGTGCTCCTGACTGCATCAATAACAACCATAATAGTCGAAGAGAAAAAGTAGTGTTTCAGGAGCTTACCTCATGAATGCCAAGTCTTCCTTCTTTTTTAGGACGTGCTAGTCGATTCCAAGCAACCTTTTCCTTCCCTGTATCATTACCATGCCAAAGAAAGTCCATACCAATCTTCTAAACAAGCTTCAGTATCTTCTTAGGTAAAATGAAGACTTGAAACCAGTATTGAACAAGTCCAAAGATCACCGAACTAACAAACGACAACCGCCAACATATGATAATTTCTTAGCTCGCCACGATCTTATTCTTTACTTTATTGATGTTGTCAGAGCCTCACACTCTTTATTAGTCAACTTTCCTGATATAAGGGGTAATCCTAGATAACGCACAAGAAGAGTACCTTCTGAAAATCCAGATAATTCAATGGACTTCTGCTTATAAATGACCAATTCACCACATAAAAAACACTTCTCAGGGTTACACTTTGAACCAGATTACCAATAGAAATTGTCCAAAACTTGCTTCACAATTGTTATTGCTCTTGTTGATCCTACTGTAAAGATCAGCAGATCATCTGCAAAGTGAAGGTGGTTTAAAGAAACCTTGCTATAGAAAAGATAAAAAGGGACCAATCCTTACAGATATGCCCTGTTCAACATACCCGTCAGACATTCCATGACAATTGCGAAGAGGTAAGGTGATAGAGGATTATGTTGCCTCATGATAACGTCGTATTTGCACATGTTTGCACCCTCGTTTATTGATCGTTTTGGATTGAGCTTGTGCTTTCTTGGCCTATTTTATTCTAGGTTGTGTTCCTTTGTCACATTTCAGGTCCTAGCGCGTAAAGTGAAGTATAGGCGCAAGTTTCAAGTCAATCGAAGATCAATTAATGATTCAGGAGAAGAAACTCGGGCATGACCTAAAGAATAATGGAGTTACACCTCATTATATGGAAACATAATCATATAATCTTTTCATGAAAATAAAGGGAACGAGACTATGAGCGTCTGGGATCAAACGGCGACTGATTCGGAGTCTGGACGAGGGAGAAACGAAGCAACAAAGACAGTGGAACAAGAGCTGAGGAAGAAACACAGGCAGGCTTCCCTAAAAACACGATTGTGTTTTGTCTAGCACTTGCTAGTGTTTTTTATGGCAAGCCTCTCTTGTGAAGACTGGTGAAGAGATGCAAAACACGGGCAAGACTAAACATAGCCGTGTTCTCGACCATGTTTCTGCCCCTACTCGGGTATAAGTCTGATTTCTGCGATTTTAGAGGGGGGGAGCTGGGTTTTTGGTTCCCAAACACCCAAGGGACGAACCCTAGAGAGAGAGAGAGACTTGGGAACATTCTTGGAGCTATTTTGGAGGATTTCTTCATCATTGGAGCTCGGGAATCAAGCTTGGAGATGTAGATTGAAGATCTAGATCAGATTTATGCATTCTCTCTCTTCTCTATGGAGTAACTTCCCTTCACTTAGGTTTTGAGGAACCCTAGTTCAATGTGTTAGGATCTTTCTTGTATGAATCTTTGAATGCTATACTGTTTGATTTTAATCAATTGAGGCATGATTTGTTGAGTCATTTGAATCCTAATCACATTCTCTTGACTTCTACTTTAACCTATGATAGATAGAATCTGATTGGGTTGATAGAGCTTCTTCAATTGATAGGAGTGAATTGATTGTGTGAGAGTCAGTAAATTCATTGCTTTGTACTGGAATACAATCCACGTAGTGGAGATATGTGTGAATCGCCTTAGCATTCTATCCCGGTGAAGGCTAGTCACCTGCCGGATAATCTAAGAAGGCTTGGTCATCATAATCGATTCCAAGCTAATTGAGGATCTTCCGCAGTTTAATCAATAGTAAAACGACCGAAGGAAATTATAATTTAGAGTTGTTTTACCTAGGTGAGTGCCCAACATGTAATTAGTAGTTTTACCTAGTTAAGCTTGTAGAGTAGTTTTAGTTAATAAAATCTTAATATGGTTTGCTAGATAATGAACTAAAGCTGATAATAGTAACTCTAGAGACCCGTGGATTCGATATTTATTACTTGTATCACTATACTGTAGTCCCTTTCATTGGTTACACTTGGGCATTGTTAGGAGTTGTGTTTTAGCGAGTCACCTCACACCCTACTTTGCACCAAAGAATTCTTAACACAGATTCAGTATCCATTAACACAGATACTGAATCTGGAAGTAGACACACATGCTTTAATCCATTCCAAATATAGCTAGGAAGTCCATCAAATTCATAATAAAAAAATAGATAGTCCCAATTAACTAAATCGAAAGCTTTCATAATATCTATTTTATAGCACATCTTGAAGATAATTACTTCCGATGATAGCCACTAACCATTTCTTGAGCAAGCATTATATTATCCACTATTTGCCTACCCTTAATAAATGTTGTTTGATTCAAGCTAATCACAGAAGGAAAAATCTCACACAAACCTCTTAGACATGATTTTTGCCACTATTTTGTAGAGCACATTAACACAGGAGATAGGATGAAATTATTTAAAATATTAATCATTCAGTACCTTTGGTATAAGAGCTACTGCAGTGGCATTAACTCCACTTAGCAGCCTCTTCGTCGCGAAAAATTCCAAAACCCCTTTTGTAACATCTGCCCCTAAAATGTGCCAAGTCTTTTTGACAAAAAAAAAACCCCCGAGGATAAACCATCCGGGCCTGGTGCTTTATGAATGTTCATTTGAAAGATAGTTTCCCTCACTTCATCCACTATTACTTCCTTTCAAAGCAGTTCCTTATCTTCGTGTGACAATTTCTTTTGTATAACCTCTTTTAGAAGTCGAAAGTCAGGCTGAACTTCAGTGTTTACCACTCCAAACAGCCTATGATAAAAAAAAACAATTGCCTCATATGCTACTCTATCAACCTCAGTAATCAATTCCCCTGCCTCAGTTCTAATTCTTCCAATTGCCTCTTTGCATTTTGAATTATAACAGAGTGATGGAAATAACGAGTACTTTTATCACCTCTGTTGAGACCCTCTTCTCTAGATTTCTGCCAATACAGTCCTTCCTCGGCCTTTTAGCATCCTCTTATTGTGATAGCAACAACTTTTTCTCCTGAAACTTTTCAGCTGTAGGGGTTGTAAGGCAATCAGTCATAACTCTCAACAATTGCAGCTCCAACTCCTTTACTTGAGTACTAATATTTGCATAGTGATCCATATTCAACTTCTACAAAGCCTTCTTAACTTTCTTCACCTTTTCCTCCATGACATTCCAAGGACTACCAGCACACTGAATAGCCTAGGCTTCCTCAAATATGCTAAGGAAGTCAGGATGCTCACTCCAAAAGTCAAAATATTTAAAAGGCTTTGGCAAAGACTTCACATGCGATTTGGCCAACACAAGGATACCACAATGATCCAAGAAAGTACCAGGTATAGCCTCCATAGTACAATTGAAAAAATTGTGTCATCCAGGGGGCATTCACCATGGCTCTGTCCAACCGATTAGCAATAAAATTCAACTGCTGATTGTTAGAACAAGTGTAAAAGGTCCTAGGGTATGAAAATCCTCCAACTCCATATTGTTACCCCACTCCTCAAAATCAGACATACTAGATGAGACAATAGTCTGATTAGATGCCTCATTTGGGTTCAGAATAGTATTAAAATCCCCGCCTACTTTCCAAGGGTAACCATATACTTTAAACCTACCTATCTCAGCATAGGTAGTTCTTCTCTCTAACTCCTCATTCGAACCATAAACTGATGATAAGAAGTAAACATCACCCACCTGATCTTGTACCATAGCATGCATAAAAATTTTCCCTAGTTTCAGAATACTAACCTTGAA